AGAGACACAAACCTTTGTTAAAATCAGGCTCAATATTCCTACTTGTGATCCTTCAAAACAGGCATTTCTAATGTAAAAACTGTCCTCTGAATTTCCAGGCCATGTCCTGAAGACACAGTCAGTGTGTTTCTGAAAATCCAACTCTATCCATACCTAGCACATCCATATAGATATGTATATTTATTGTATCATACCATCTAGATGCCTCTGGGACAGCCAAACAACCAAGATCTGGGGGGTTCAGCTGCTTCTCAAGAGCAACACAGACACAGCTACTGATTTTTGGTGTGTTTTGACCACACCTTGGTCACAAGGAACAAAACCAGATTTCTTGGATTCCAGAACAGGAAAAGCACAACAGGATAGGAAATTACTAGGTGATTCACTACAAAATTACAGCTGATCACTTCATTGTGCTCATGAAGGGTTTGGGGGAAGAAATTTGCCATTCCTGCCAAGGTTTGAGAGCCTCTCATCTTCCACAGATAGGTGGAAATTTGAAATGTGAAAGAAGAAAGGATGAAGTGAATAGAATTTCTAAAGGGCATTACTGTTTTATAACCATGAGTCAGTTTTTCAGCTAGGACAGAAGAATTGATGCCAAGCGGCAAGTCATGAAATATTTCTTAAGCTGTTGGCTGGATTCTCCACCACTGCTGAATGATGCAGCTCCAGAGATTTTCAATAAAACCACAGCAAAGTGGGAAAGCTCAAGGTGTGCTCTGTCCTTTTGCTCCTCACTAACAATGAGGATTGTGTATTCTTAATAAGTTTATATAAAAACAAGCAGGACATCCAGAATACAGAGCTTGTGAATACTTTAGAGAGGTTTCAGCCTTTCCATTCAGAATAGAGAAAGTTCATATCTTTATGGTGCTGTGATGTCACCTGACTGAATCAATCTGGAGTTGCATCTCATTTAATAAGATTACCAGGACAAACAGAGTGGAAGCAATCTGCTTAAACATTTCTTGCCTGAATGATTTCCAAAGCATCTTTTGACACTAATTTGTTGAATGGATGATTGCAAGCAACATAAAAACAAATTAAAAGTTGTAAGTGCTAGGGCTAGATCCTCAGCTAGTAAAAGAGTAAAGTGTACCCATTAAATTCAGCATGGCTTTGCTCATTTGTGTCTGCTGAGGATCTGACTCTTTATGCTTGATGTGACTATACATATGCTTGGGTATAGGGTTATACTCAGCAGACTACTCACTCTAGTCCTGAGCATCCTTTAGCCCCACACTAAGAGGAGCAGGAGCATTTGTCAGATCCAGAGTTTGCAGAATTGGTTCCTGTGTAGCTGGGAAAGCCACTGGGGGCCCCGTTCTGCTGGACAGGGGGGTTTGATGGACACGAATGAATATGGCTTTGACATACACAAATTGTGTGGTTTCATTTACAGCAACAGAGAAGTGTCACACATTCATCTACACCCATTACACAGTGAAAACTCACCAGTCTTTAAAATTAAGCCTTGCCTCTGTGAAGCCAAATGTTTCCAGGTGTTCCCCTCAGAGCTCAGTTCAGTGCTTCTTCCAATTTACCATAAATCCTTTAGCCTCCCAATTTTCCACTGCATGCTGTTCTCCATCCTTTGTGTCCACCTGATCTGCACAAACTGCTGCTTTTCCTGGCTCCCTGCTCCTATTTTGCTCTTCCCCATCTGCTCTCTGTTTCACTGTCCTGAGCAGCTGATGTGAATGTGCAGGTTATTAACACTTTTGTTCAGTTCCCTGTGCACTAAGTAGCACATAGGCACAAGCAGCAATATTAACACCTGAAATCATATGTAAACCTATGAAGTAAATAGTGGAAAAGTATAGATAGAAACAGGAAAAGAGAAGATAACAGAAAAAAAGTTCTGCCTGCTCTAACTTGCTCCCAGATTTTAGTTTATAGAGCAATGTGAAGAGATTGGACTGAAATATTGTGCTTGTTTACCACATTCTGGGGTTTCTTGAGCTTGTTTTGGCTTTTTTTTTGTTGTGTTGTGTTCTTTTTTTTTAAAGCTGACAAATCAAGTTCTGGCTCCTCACACCATATTCTTTTCCACTACCTGAGCACATGGAAACTGCAGTTTGCATGATCCACTGAGAACAAATTTTCAATTTAGGAAAATATCTTTGCAGCTTCTAACAAACTACCATATCATTATTTGATTGGTTTGGGGGTTAAAAGGTGATTTATACTCAAAAAGGGTAATATCTGAACACCAATTAGGAATCCCAGGAACCAGAGGGATCTGCAGCCATTTCTGTTTAAATTCAGAAGGAAATCAGTCTTCATCCCTCAGGGTGGAAGATGCCTGGCAGCTGCACTCAGGGAAGCTGCTCCCCTCCCTACCACAGCAATTAAAAGATCATGTTATTCTAGCTGATCTGGCACCCACAGAAGTCAAAGGTAAACCATTCATCCACTGAAATGGGCTTTGGAGCAGCTTCAACATTTCTCCAACATATGTAGCCCTGACACTTTGGAAACCAAAGGCCTTCCAGTTTAACCACACTCATGGCAGCTAAAAAAAAGAAGTGTTTTCACATCTTGCTTTTGTCTAGTATAAACACAACCCAGCACAACTGACCATCATCTGTCTAGTAAAGGGATGGTTTGTTGGAGGAAATAAGTATTGCCAGTTAGTATTTACCTGTGGACCCACTGATGACAATCAAGGCTGTGTTTGCTTTCAAAGAAAAGTGTCTCCTTTCAGTCTAAAGGATTCAAAGCTTCTGTCCAAAGAAAAAGAACAATTCTGACAAGTGGAAACCAGGATTCCCCCCCTTTTCACCAAAAGCTCTTTAATTATCCTGGTTCATCCATGAGGACAGGATGATAAAAGCAGGCACAGAGCAAGTTTGTTCCACCACCTTTGTTGTGGTTTCTATTGGATATTTTTAAGTTCCAAATTTTTACATCTTTCCAACAGAAAGCCAGATCTCCCTCCAGAGAAAGGCCACAAGCAGAACCCTCTACCCTTAAACACTTTCCAGTTATCTCATTTCTTCAGGTAAAACCCATTATTGACAAAAAAATATCATTTTAGGGGAAAAAAAAGACCTGAATCTTAGATCACACCAAGTGACAGAACTTCGAAATCCTCTAATGTCCATAACAAACATTTCAACCCTCCTGTTGTTTTTTGTTGTTGCACTGGGTGGTATCTGCTCTGCACACATTTCAATATTGAATGGGTTTCTGAAGAGGCTTTTGTTGAATTATTTCACAGGCACTATTGAGGACTAACTCTAGAGAGGAAGATACTTAATGGTTGCTGAAAATCCCCAGGCAGCTCCTCAAATCCACAGGCCTTTGTGACCAAGATGTATTTACTGTGTTTGTTGGCATTTTCTTCCTGACTTCCCAGGAGTTTGCAGTTCTTCAGACATACTTGATTAGTCACAGATTGTGTTGCTTGGCTTAAATCCAATTTACCTCTAGACATTAACTCCTAAACTACTATCCCCTTCTCTCCACGGCACCCGTGGACCTACAAAGCCTTCTGATGGAGAAGTTCATTGTATTCCATTAATTTCTGGAAAGAAAAATATGATTTCACCCCTCCAAATGCAACTCAAGTCTTACCCATCTTGCAAAAGCACTAAGAAATCAACACAACTGAGCCTGGAAATTCAGTGTCTAGAGGCATCAATCCCAAAATCCAGTTGCTGTTCTGAAGTGACACTTTGCAAACACCCACACAATCAATAAACTCAGTCCTGGTTTCCAAAATTACTATATTTAAGGTCTTGTTGGTGTTGGCTACTGTCACTGGGAAGTAAATTTTGGAGACCCACATCATATCTGAAACAGGGCTAGGGGTAATTCCACCAAATTTCATTAATGAAGTCCATTTTCACAGTCACTGGATTCAGTCTCCACACCTATGATGATCTGCACCAAAACCTCTATACTTGAACATGACTGAAATGTCTCCACATCCAGGATGCCAAGATGTGCTTTTGCATCTCAAGACAACCTTGAACCACCCAAGAGCCCTCCTCAGTCTGAGATCCAAGGAAGTCAAATAAAACTGAATTTCTTCATAAAGAGTGGCAGGAGTTTGACCAAACACACACACACACGCTGGATACCTGAGCTAGAGAGATTTCACCTTTAGCAACAGCAATGTAGTTAACTTATTCAACAGACTCTGGTGCCTCAGCCTCACAGAAAACAAAAATATCAAATGAAAAGCAACCACAAGAGACCCAAAGGGAGATTATTTACCCAAATGAAAAGTTACCCTTGGACCTGACCTTCTCCAGTGATGCAGCATGACAGTAGGAGTTACAACCTCTTCCCAATATACGAGATGCCTTAAGAAATTCAAGAAGCTGCTGGAACAGCCCAGGGAATGCAGGAACCTGCTGAGCAGGACAGTGCCAGCAGGGCCAGCAGGGCCACCCCTCCATGCCCTGCATAGCCAGGCAAGCCAAACAACTGCCAGAGCCAGAAAACTGCTCAACAAAACCCAAATGAACAATAACCAGAATAAACTCTTTGATGGCTGATTCTCACCCACCTGCCAGGAACCATCAAAGAGGCACTCATAGCAGCAGCCAATCAGTTACTGACATGAAATAGTTTCCAGCAGCTGAGCTCAGAGCACCAGCACAACTCGCGCTGAGCCCTGTGCAGGGCTGGCTGGAGCTGCAATGTGCTGCTGCATGGACAGCCTTGCCTGGACCTTTTCTCCCCACAATGCTCCAGGGTCAGAATTCAGATCCTCTGCCAGCACTCAACAAGTTTTCAAATGCATCCCCAACACCATCAGGCAGTTCTGTGCTGGAAGAAAAACCATCCATGGACAAAAACAAACAACCCCATCTACAGATTGTAACACTAAGAACTCAAGTGAGCATGAGAAGATCAGTAGCCTCCTTGAAGCCCCACAGCAACATGTCTCTTCAGATGTGTAAACTCCTATTTGTTTTTACAAGTTACTGCAACAACAGTCAACAGCAACACACACATTGAAAGAAAACTATATTTTTTCCTACCTTTTCTTCGTGTAACTTCAAACCTTCTGGAGTCCTATAAGGAAAAAGATAATTTTGTGTTGGTTTTGTTTGTGGTTTGTTGGGGTTTTTTTTAAAATACAAGAACTGTTCAAAGGCAGCACAAACAGAAATACCCTAAAAAAACATTAGTCATTGTCCCAGAGAAGCATCTTTGAAGCTGTGCACAATAACTGAGGAGGAATTACAACCATACGTTTCAGTTTGTCCACAGATATTTAGTGGATCAATCTGATTCACCCTCCTGTGATAAGTTACTTGGTAGAGCACAATATCTTTCTTTAAAATGGATTTCCCCCCCTCTATTGATGTTAAAAGGGAGCAGCTACAAGGGTTATTATCACTACACCAAAGATTTAGGTTTGAGGAGGGAGGAGTCTGATATTTTTGGCAGTGGCTTGTTCAAGTAACTGAATAATTTCAAAACAACCAGAGTATTCATGCTCAGAGCTGAGGGCTCACATCAGCCTTGGCTCACCTACAGCATTTGCCCTATTGCTTCTTGCCAAGCATCACTACCATCTTTAATAAAGAAACTTCTTAAAAGACATTGCATAGTCTCAAAGGGTATTGCATTCCCAGACAACACTATCTCCTTATACTAATGATGAGACTCCAGAGGAATAAATATTTAATTCCAAGTACAAACATTATTTACGAGTTAATTACAAATACTTATAATTTCCATCAGTTGAGCTACCTCTTGCAACCAGTATTAAAAACAATGGAATCACAGAGAATTCTAAAAGACCACCTTGCCTGGAGTCACACTGACCTGGACAGTGCCCATGGATGGATAATCCAGGATCAACCCCCCGAGTGAAAACTTCAAACTGGAAGACCCTGAAGTGCCCCCAGACTCAGCACTATCTGCACCATGATAACCCCCCCAGCACAGACACAGGGAAGAGCAGCAAGCTCCCCTGCCAAAAGCTCACGAGGCAGGTTTTTCCTCTTGTGGATGTGCCCTGTTTAACCTCATTTCATTCCTTTAACTCATTTCATTCCCTCAGTGTTCTCAGATGTTTGTTTCTCTGAGAGTGAAAGAGCAAAAAGGTTTGTTTCTCTCCTGCTTTTGATAGAAAAATAACAGAACTCCCCAGACATGGGAGCTCTCTGGTCCTTTTGATTCTTATTGTAGTTTTATTTGTACTTTTTTGTTTTTGAAAAAGAAATAAAGTAGCTCTCTGCAGACCACGTTTAGACAAAGGGAAGCCAAGTCTCATGCTGCCCATGTCATGCAACATGTCCACAGTCCCCATGGCAGGGCCAAGTGCCCTGCCACAGGGGCACTGGGGTACAGAAAGCTGCCACTGGGGCACACGATCAAAAATAGAGCTGTTCAGA